ATTATATTATGCTGTATATAACATGTAAGTAGAGAATACCATACCGTATGCTTGCACACCGCTGTCTTGTTACAAAAAATTCCGATCTTCTTAAAATAACAGCGCGAAAGAATGCGCCGTGTACGTGCCGCTTGCGACCGATTATATTCTTACGAATTATAGTCAAGCGTTCCTAAAGTTTTGCCTAAAAATTAAATACGATTCAATTGTAAACAAACAAGCGCTCATAAAACGATAACATAATTAATTTCAATTGATTCATGGAGGAGAGGTATATGCATTATATGAATTCGAATCTTGCGAGTTATATTTGTAATACGGCCTACCCATGCAAATTACGAGCTGGAAGCGCGCGATCTTCTTTTCCATGATGCGCCATGAAAGGAGACGTTGCCGCGCCGAAGCGCTTTTACTTAACCATGCGGAACTTTGATGCGCGCGCGATAAGAGAACGCAAGATCTACGAGAGATAATAACCTGCAATAATAAACAGGGCGCGCGCGAGCGAGAGAGAGAGAGAGAGAGAGAGAGACGCGGCGGAGAAATAAACTTATTAATTTAATCTGCGAGATCGAATTCGACAAAATTATTTTTCCCGATCGTTACCGTGGAATTCATTATTATTGAAGATAATTTCGATGGTGAAAGGCTATTAATTTGGCTGTTTCTCAACTGCTATTACATGTGCAGTCTTATATAATATTATTGCGAAATTATGTTTGCACGACCGCGATATTAGCGGTCCATCGCCGCTCTCAGTCTAATGTGAACACGTGGTTGGCCTCGGTTAAGAAATCCTATTGCGAATTCCACGCACTCAGTGGTTTTTGACCTACGACCCGCGTCTTTAACATTACCTAACTCGCGAAATATTTTTATCACTTTTTTGCGTTATTCCTTCTGTATAGAGATAAAAGATCTAAATATATAACGCGTTGTGTAATTTTATTCAATCTAGCGGCTTGAAAAAAGAATCCATTTTTATATCACGTAAAATCGAATAATTTATTTTAAAAACCTAATATAAAAAGGCTCTTAATTCCTATTTTAAGGGTTTTTAATATAAGGTCTTTCATATTAAGTATTTTTAACGTAGAAATAACTATATGATATAATTTGAATACGAGATTGAGATTTTTTCGTCAACAAAGATTACATTAATTTTTATATTATCACGTGATCTCTGTTATTAATAATTCATTGAATGAGGTTTTTGTCGGTTTTATTACATCTTCAAAATACGTACTTATGTGCTTTATTTATGCATATTCTTGAGTAAATATTTATTTCAACAACTTGTAATATCGCGCATATAAATTTATTTGCATACTACTCATAATCAGAGAAGCAAATTGAAAGGAAACTTTATAAGTGCAGTTCGCGGAAACCGTTTTTGCATAATGTATGATATATACCTATGTAGCTGTGCACAAGAAATATTGGAGAGGTAGTATGTTTAAAAAATTAGCTAGAGGTCCTATTGAATACTTTCATGAGCTGCAGTCATTCAGGCACCGTTAATAAATTTGATCTAAAAAAAACATGGAAATTCCGGAAAAAAAATCATGATTATTAGTATAAAGTTCAAGGAGGATTACAAATCAGTAAAATGCATTCGAATTTTTTCATCTATTTAATTACATTAGCGTGAAATACTCATGATGATACGTCCATTATCGTCTCCAGCACGTGCCTCATCGAGCACGAGCGTGAAAGTATCGTCGCGCACTTGGCGTCCACAATGTCATAGTTCACTTTCTACAACCGTCCTCCGTATCTTACCCGCTAGTTTGCATCAAATCGAGTTAGAAAAACCAACTCAATTATAAACGTTACTTTTACTTCCTGCTGCACATAAGTTGTGTAAGCATTTCTTTCATTGCAACCGACGTCCCGGTTCTATTTAGAAACTATCACTATCTTTTACCTTTAAGATTCAGTGAAAAGATCTCGCTACGAGGAGATGAGTATACTATATTTAGGCATTATTACTACCTTTTTACCTCTAAATCTTGACGGAAAAATTTTATTACGAAGCGATATATTGTCACAGCCACACTGACATTACGCAAATTTCTCCTGACATATTTCGCGAATACACCTTACGGAACATACTTATGTCTACGTGCTTCTCTGGTCATCTTCGGTACGAAAGCAGTACGTTGCTTGTGGAAGCCGGAAGATCTTGGCGGATGCTTAAATAGAATAGAACAATAATGCCCGCTTCACCAACAACGCACGGGATTATCACACTTTTGAAAGTCTCCTTTTTAACGACACATAAACGACGGTCCGAACGACCACGAACCAGACGAACAGGATGACGGCGTCGATCCAGAATATGGATTTGTGCATACGCAGCTCTTCTAGTATCAACGACGGTGTTCGTAAATGACAATAGTCGATGTTACTCGGACAAGATATTGCCTTTCGTTGAAAGCCATAAATCGCCAGTATCATTCCGTCGAGACTATATTTGTAGTAGTTCATAAAGCTAATGTAATAACAGATCTTCGGCATGTGATTAAAGAATATCAGAAAGCCGGCTAGCGTCAGCATCACGCAACAGATAACAGAGCCGAAGAAGGTGCCATTAACGGGATTGAAAAATGTCCCTAGACCCAAGCCTACGCTCTCCGAGATGAAACACGTTAGGGATATGATGAGTACAAACATGAGGAACCGGAGCCATTCCATAGGTTGCTTAGTTAGAACGTAAGAGGTGCCCGAGTAAACAAAAGCGGAAAATATGGTCAACGGTAAAGCAATTACCAGCGTGGCTATGTAGTAAGTCCTCAGCTGATACCAATTGTTGAAGCGCTCCTTCTTCAGAATGTTCAGCTCCAATGGGAATTTCAACACAGCTGGCATCATGCTGGTGTAGATGAAGTATACCCCGGTTATAAACAAGAAACCAAGGTTGCTGATGCTTTTGCTGGCATCCTCGCCGGAATGCTCGAACAGCAAACCCAACAGGATTGCCACGAGGAAGTGCAAGATTATCTTGATGTGACTCACCGTCCAATCTCGATACACTATCAGGGCGCCACGATATAGCAATATCTTGAATTTCGTCAGTTCCGAGGGTGGGTCCATCATCAACTTTGTTTTCTCGTCGTAGAACGACGCTTCTCTCATGAGGCGTACCTTCAAGGGCGTCTCCTCTCTCTGGCAATATTTCTTGGCCGCCGCGATTAGTTGATTGTTGTAATCCCCGTACTCTCGGTTGGCCACCTCCAAAATGTAGTCCGCGGGATTGTGATACTGGGGACACTGAAAACCCTGCTGTTTGAAATAGCTCACCGTGTTGTCGGGCCTGCCGGCGTATAAGCATTGACCGTCGGCCACCAAGTAAATATAGTCGAACAATTGGTAGATCGCTGCGCTGGGCTGATGTATGGTGCAGATCACCGTTCGGCCACTCCTCGCCAGAGTTTGTAACACGGAGATGCATTGCAGGGACGACGACGAGTCCAGGCCGGTAGTCGGTTCATCTAAGAACAGTATCGGCGGATTGTCAATCAGTTCCAGAGCGATGCTCAGCCTCTTCTTCTGTCCCCCGCTGAGCCGGTCGACTTTTGTGTCTTTCACTGTCGATAGCTTCAACATGTCCAGGATGTTGTCGATCAGTAGCTGCCTGAATATTTTCGTCGCACAGTTGGCGATCTTCAAATAGCTTACTAACATCATGCTCTCTTGTACGGTGAACAGGCCGTACAAGTTGTCCGTCTGCTGGATGTAGCACGACTGTTTCTTGTACCTGTTCCAATTCTGGCTACCCTCGCCGCTGATGTACTCGATCGTGCCCGTCAATCTTCCCTGTTGAAACCCGGTCAAAATGTTCAGCAGCGTGGACTTCCCGGCACCGGACGGTCCCATAATAGCCGTCAGCTCCGCGGCCTTGAAGACTCCGTTCAGGCCCTTCAGGATTTGCTTCTTGGTTTTGCGATATCCAACTTGAACCTCATACAACAGATCCTTGAATTTAATGTCGGCCATCCGCGTCCGCGACATACGCAGCGCGTTCGTTGCACGTCTTTTCGTCGATGACATGACTTACTAGATTTGATTGACCTACTGAGAGTATCTTTCGCCACTGTCTATCTGCCGCACTTTCCGTTTATCTCTTCACCCGCGATTATCAGTTTATCGAGAACAAAAAATCTGTTTGACTACTACGTAGGTGGGGCGAATTATATGTGACTAATGCACAGTGTGTGCGCGAAGATTCATCTGCGGCTTCTTGTTATTGTAGTTGCGTGTTGGAAGAAATATTACACGCAGCTAATATTAAACGAATCTTATTCTCGAGAAAATCTTATCTTCAATCCTTAGTTAACGATCAATGTATATTAATACGCACACAATGGTATAACTTAGTTATAATTCCCTTCAATTATTTTCGCTTTTTAGACGTAAGGTATTTCGCGATTTAAAACAGTTGAGACCGTGTATAATATATTCTCATATCATATATTGCTTTCTTCGCGCGATCGCGATTCTTTTCAACCTACATTTGGATTCCGTACGTTTTCTTATATCATCTTCGTTCCCGGAGGCTACTTGTTCGAAACAAAGACTTCTATTCTTCAGACGTATATATATATATATATATATATAATATTTCTTCAGCAATTTCCGTCACCGCTAACGTTTGTATTCAATTAAATGTTTTCTTGTTCCAATTTCCTCTTACGTGAATCACTTTGTCAATTCTTTCGTTCACCTGCAACATAATCATTGTATTACTATATTTACGTTTCGGTTTGCATTGCGAAAAACGAGTTTCCGCGCGACACGATATTTAGATGGTACTCGATGATGCAGCAAGAACTGGTTAAGTGCGTCGTTACCGCGCGACTAATTTATTAAATAGGAATAGATATAGCCGGCACGAACCGGTAATTGCACAAATGTCGATTATTGCGTAAACAGACATTACTTGTTTCTGGATTGAAAAGCATCTGAGTTGAGATCGGCATTTACCAAAACGCGAATCTCACGAATAGCTACATTTGCCGGGTATTAACTTATTTTTCTTCTAGTTAAATTTATCTAGAATCAAGCTTTATCTCGTTAAATTAATCATCTATTAGCGTCATTATAATTATATAAGTTGCTAATTTAGATGGTACTCGTGAGGAGTCATAGTTTGTGTTGTATAATTAACTTTCAGTTGTTTCAAGTTGAAAAAAGACAATAACGGAAGCGATGGAATTAATGTAACGTCATACACGGTGCTTATCGAACAATTACCTCTAATTTGCCGCGTTAGTTGAAATTAATCGCACTGAGAACTGATAGTCATAGTTACAAATTAAATTGGAAATAATTTTACAAACGAATTTATATTTTTTTTTCTGTATTCAATTTAAATTTATCATATTTGTACACATATACTCACACACATTATAAAGATTATAAAAGAGATAAGAAAATGGTTTAAATAGGTCAATACTTGTAGGTATCTATTCATATGATTTCATAGTGCTGCAAATTAGTTTTTTTTTTACTCGTGTAACTTCTGGCGTATATTGACATTAGTCTATTTTGAGAAACATTTTGCACGAAAAAGGTACAAGGTTCTCAATAGTTAACTGTTACACACGTATTATGGACATGTTATGACAACACATTACTATGTTAAATCACACGTTAGCAACTGTTAAGTAATTAGTTGAAATATCTTCCGAAAATTATTGATGAATTATTTATTGAGGTTCTTTAAAAACATGCAACATCTCTGATATTACGAATATAAACATGTTTGTGCGCGAATAAATCGGTATAATTTCTTACGTCAACTTGACGAGTAACGAAAAGAATGACTAGTATAATATGATGGTAGATATGCTCTATAGTACTACAATTTTTGCTAATAATTTCATAATTTAAATTTTTTCCATTGCGTAATATGATGATCGCATGTGCATATTGTTATGTCGATCACTATTGCAACGTTATTATTTATATTTCATAAAATGTGACGTGTAGATGATACGTAAATATGACTCTGCATTCTTAATCTTGACTTCCTGCGAACTTCTATCGTTTGCAATATTACACGTGTGATTTTTTATATATTTAATTTACAGCAACAAGATATCAATTATCTTCTTTTTTGCACACATGAATTTATTATCTTTCTTTGCTTTCAGTTCTTAAATTATAAGTTACCGCGCATTGACGCTATTTACATTTCTCAAGAGAGATTATATGGTCGATTATGTAGTCGACAGTAATTTGCATTTTTGTGCTATATAACTACGCAGTGCATTATGCTTCTTATGTAACATTAATAAACTATAATTTGTAGTTGGTAAGGAAGCCCTCGTTAGAGTCGGGCTATCGCTTGCTTTATATTAGATTTTGCGATATCTATGAAGGACAAAAGAAAATGTTTTATCGTTAAAAAAAAATGTAAATGATACATGTGTATTAACGCATTAAGAAAAAAAAGTTGAAATGTGGACGAAATTGAAATAACATGAAATAAAATATAATTTATATAAGTTAGATAATATAAAAGACATGGCATTGCAAAATTTTATGAAGAAAAAAGATATCTTCACACTTAGCTTTTAACTTTATACTCAGTTTTTAAATATATTTTTAAATGCAAACTAGATTCTCTCGATGAATCATTTTATTAAATTTCGAGCAATTGTAAATATATTTCTTTGGATTGTTTAATTTCGACAGTCATAAATATTAATGAAGAATATTTCAAGATTTTAAGTGCAACCTTTTTTTGCCTCTTTTATATTTATACTGTCCATAAATATTAGCATTATCACGTTAATTATTACGTACTATTAGCAGTTTGTTTTGTCGGAGATATTCATGTTAATTTTTTTTCGATAGGTTGTCGATAGGTTCAATATTAGCAAGGAACATCCGGAACTAGTTTCATAATTCTTGAAATTATTGTTAGATGAAAAAAGCGCGTGTTTTTTTATGTGTAACTTTTATTTAAAAAGCAGCCCGTTGAAATTAACGCGGTATATTTAATTTACGCGTTTCTCGAACGTTTGTATTAATTAACATGTTGCCAGAAGAATCAAACCGGTTTGAATAGTTTTAACATGTCTTTGTCGCAAGAGAATAATATAACTGAAGAAATACAATTTCAAATGTCTATTTGAAATATCATTTCGGATATGATAAAACAATTTCGCAAAAAAATGTGAGAGAATACTAATAAAACCATTCAAGAATTGGCCTTTCTCTTGCAGTGCCGAACCAGTTACATTCTTGGTCCTTCGGGAATCAAGCTGAACAAAGTTTATCTACAAGGTCAACAAGTTCGATGTTTACTCCCTTTGGTATCTGAGTCAATGCTACAGTGTACTTCATTCATGCTTAATACTGCAATGGCCTTGCGTTATTAAGTTATTTATTTGCAATTTTACAAATAATACTGATTAAATGCCAAATTCAATGTTATAGCCGACCACCAATAAAAGACGAAATAAAAAGAAAAGTAGTGTGTGTGCATGAAAAAATGCATGAAACAAGGCGGATCGGTATGACAATGTAGTTAACTAACACTTGTCACGGTAATTTTAAAACAATTTGAATAGTTTAGAAAGAATTAATCGAACATTACACCAAAAACTAATATATGTTAAAGACTAAATCAAATTTACAAAAGCAATGTAATTTAGTAACAGAGAAATCAAATGAATGATGAAAAGTTATATAATTAGTCATAGTTACATATATATATATATATATATATATATATATGTATATGTTTTATTCTATACATCGCGAATTTACAATATTAATCAATCTCTCTATAGAAAAACTGCTAATCGCACTTTTCATCATTTATCATTTTGATCTCTCTACTATTAGATTACATTACAAATTTGCGATTTATTATTAAAAAAATAAATTATTTATTATACTTACAATAAAAACATATTCTTCTTAATATTGATATGCTTCCACGTATCGTTGCAATTAAAAATGAAGTTTTTAAAAATTGAACTTCAACTGAAGAAAGATTTCACAATTCTTCTGATACTCGGCCAAACATCCGGACAACTGCAATACGGACTAAGCAGAGATTGTTAGAATCACGAATGACGCTTTGCGTGCACGTAGGATCGGTCGATCCGAGTCCGCGAAGTGATCTGTCACAACGCACGATATAATATGTTTCGCGAAGTGGCCTCTGCATCCTACGTTACCTGTCTGTCGGCAGACTCCCCCCGCCGCACGCAAAATTTTTCCTTCTTTTATTCTCTCTTCTTATCCTTGAAAACATCGTATAAGCTGCATTGAGTCTTGCGAAAGTTGTCCCAAATATTAAACTTGTCAGCCTTTTGATTTCGTCGATGATTTAGACTGGCAAAATTATATATTTTTATTATCCTTAAATAAATATAAAAGAGATGTCATTTGACAGATGTTCCAAATTGATATATTATGGTTATTTTAGAAAGGAATTGAAATAAACTTGTTTGATTATTTGTCATTTTTGTTAAATAAAATTACTACTTTTCTAATTTTTATAAAATATAAGTAAGTCAATTTTTTATTGTATTATATAAAATATTTATGTTATATTATAGCAATATAATTAAAAAATATTAAAACGTATTTTTTGATAAATATTGTTTATAAATTCAAATTATAAAAAGGATAATTTACTTTACTTTTTTTAACAATTTGAATAATTTTTTCTTCGATTGAAGTTTACGAAAATTCTTAATCGCGATGGTATAAACGGATTAAGTGGAGACGTATTAAGAAGATGTTTTTTTGAAAATATTATAAATAATATATTTTTTGATAATAAAACGGTAAATTCGCGAAAGCAACGTAATCTAGTGAAAAAGTCAGACAGATGAAATAAAGTGAGATTACACAATCCTTCTGTATATTGATTATATTGTTTATTGAAAATAATCAGCAACATAAATTAACGATATGCAAATGTCAATTATTTATAAATGACATTGCGAAGAGAACATCAAAAGAAATAGGAAAAATGCCAGCAGTAAATAATAATGTAAATAATAATAATGTAATCTAAAAATTGTACGTAAATATAATTTAATTACTTAAATATTAAATAATTAATTAAATAATAATTTAATTAATTTAAATGTAATTACAATGGCATTTGCAAGTATGATTTATATAAAATTATTAATTACAGTTTCAATTATACTGATTATGTTACCGACATGAATGGTAGATGATTAAAATAGAATCTCAATTAATTACATTTTAATTTGATCTTATTGGATATTTGATCTGTTTGGGTATAGTGACGGACATTTCACTACATAATGCATTCTCATAATTTATAGTTTGATAATGTTGAACAATATACTAACAAATTTTACATATAAATCTTTTTTTCCTTAATAATAAATTTTTAAAATTCTGTCGTCTTGCAAAATTTATACAATGAGATAGGTTAATTAAAGATGTGTACAATGATTAGAATCATTGAAATACACACAAGCCTAACACTTTGACGGTCGCTTATTTCACACGAGCACTTTATACTCGGTTGGAATTTTCCTTAGAATCATTGCAACATTTATAGCGTAATTACAGTAGCAAATGTACTTATTAGAGAAACATTGACA